AATATACATAAATTAATATTGCCAAATACATAATATTTTAGGCTTTAAACATTCTTAAATTCATTCGAATAAATATTAAAAAAAAAAAAAAAAAAAAAAAAAAAAAAAAAAATAAAAAAAAAAAAAAAAAAAAAAAAAAAGAAGAAAAATTAATAAAATAAAACAAAAAATTTTAATTGTTAAATTAAGTTGTTTTGATTTTAAGCTAATTGAGATTATATGAAATTTGAAAGCTTATATATATAATTTCAATACAATGTTGTTTTACCTCCTTGTTTAAATTAATTGATAAATTTACGTACAACATTTACATATACATTTTTTCTTAAATTTTTTATATCATTCTATGAACATAATAATTTTATTATTAACTTTATATTAAGCTTTATTTTAGTAATTAAAGTTAAGCTTGATATTTTGAAAGGTAAATAAACATTCTTGTAAATAATGTTGAAATTGTTTTTCATATTTTATCAATTTTAATTAAATATAATTTATCAAAGAAAAAAAAATTAACTTATGTATGTATTTTCATATGGCAATGTAATACAATATTTATTAACTTTAACAACTATTGATGCTTAATGTAAAACATATTTTAAAAAGAAATCAAAATGGAGAATTAATAGAATATAAACTCTATAGTGAACATTTTAACATTCAATGAAAGTAATTAGCATAAACTTTGTACTTAACCAAAAAAATCTTAAGAAACATTATATAATTGTAGCCAATTAGCGATTATAGATTATTTTGCGATTATAAGAATAAATATCTTTTTAATTAGTAATAATATTTCGATAACAAATTGATACGTTGACTTTCATAATACAATAATGTAAAATTTTCTTTAATTTTTTTATTCTGTTTATTGTAATTCTTGAAATAATTAAGCTTGTAGCAAAATTGAGAAGGAACTTCTAGTATTTATTAAGTAAAGTCAATGGAGCATGTAATATGAAAATACGGAGAATAATCAATAAAATGGAGCTCCCAATGCAAGTACCGTTTGTTAAATATAATATGCCGTTAATAAAGAAATTAATAATAAAATCAGAGTTGCGGTAATCAGATTTTCTATATTATAAATCTACACGTATATTATATATTTACGTTTAAATTGCAATTAATTTATGATTGAAAATGATAATTTGATGCTTTTCTATACAGTGCTGTATTGCTACCTTATATATGTAATTATAAATGACAAGGATATCGTTGATCTGTTATTAACATTAATAGAAAGTGGTTATTGTAGTGGGATTGGAATGCTTGTCTGTAGGGGCAGTATATATTATCGAAGGATAAGAGTGCTGTGGGGATTTAACCATTAGGTGGCTACACATAAGGACCCATAATACGTGAAACCAGTCCTCGTACTCTCTTTAAGTGCATAAAGCGAGTTAGTCTATAATATTATTCTAGTTGGCTTGAGAAAGTCGACCCAAGATAAACAATCTGTGTTTCAACTCCAGATATTTCCATATTAATACGTATTGAAGGAAATTCTTAAATTTATATTTTGATTTTCAGTTAATTGCTCGATAAAATTGCTGCTTTAATATTATCGAAAGTGAATATAGAATATTTAATTCAATATGAATAGGCTATTGGAATGAAAAATTGCATTCTCGAAGGAGTAAGTTCTTCGCAAAAGTGAATTTGATTTTTCGATTTTACGAAATTTGTTTGCAATTATTGTTATCTTATTCCATATTATTTATTCTATTATTATTTTCAATCAAATGCAGTGGTACTGTGATCAGCAAAATTAATTAATAGATTGTCAAATTTCTTTGTTAACTTTGGGAAAATGAATATGTAGAAATGTAGGTATGCTGGTATGAATAGATTATGAAATTATTAAAATTTAATGTAATAATGATATGATTAGAACAGTTGGAATTTTGAATTGAATAACATTTAATATAATAACAATATGATTAGAGCAGCTGGAATTTTGAAGTGATAAAAATTTTCGTTATTCAATAAATTATTTAACGTATGACATGTGCAGATAATTAGCTTCGATAGGATTTAAGCAATCTAGAATTTCAAAAAAGAAGGTACGTTAAATTCCACGTTGATTTGAAAATTGATCATAGTAAAATGTATTTGTGATATTTATTATTAATGAAACAGCAATTTATCGATACATTTAAAAATATAGAAAGATATGAAAAACTTTATCGAAATAATAATCATAGATGAAGATTTCATTCGGTCTATCTTATTATTTACCAACGTGAGAATACTAAAAAATTAATAAGATATAATTATATGAAGGGAAACTGCAAAAACTAAAGTAGAAATGCTACAGATAGAATATACTTACAACTGCAAAGTTAGAGGGACAAAGATTGCAAAGGAAGATAGAAAAACAGCGATAGGTAATTTTATATAAAAGCCAAAAATCAATCTTTATATTCTCTCGTTCTCTTGGCTCTTTATCTTTTATTATTTGTTTAAATTTATATTTTTTAATTTTAACTGCAATTGATTTGAAAATAGACTTTTACATGTATTTAAAGCATTCCTTGCTATCATATAATGGAGTTGCAGCAATAATACAACATTAATATTAGATATTAATAATGTAGATTAAAATTTTTAATTTTTAATATTGTTCTGTAACTATACTTTAAATTTCAATAATATTGTTTCAACACCAAAGATTAATCTTATAGTAGCATGTACTCCCATATTTCATAAATTGTAATTAATTTTTTTATAAATAAATTAAGTACTTAAAATCCTTTCAATATGCGTAAATATAGTCTATAAAATGTATAATTTATAAATATTACATTGTAAAAAAAAAAAAATATATATATATATATATATATATATATATATATATATTAATTGAGGAGAATTAACTGCAAGTGGACATCAAATTAACAAAAATTGTTAGATTTTTCAAGATTATACATAAAGTAAAAAGTTGTATGACTAACTAAAAATAACTTAATTCTACGGCTTTTCAAAAACTTTCGAATACGTCATTTGAAAAAATGACGATTTCGTAGAGATGTCCAGATTTAAAAAATAGTTCAATAGAATGGACTTAAAAATTTGCGTGCTCTTTGTGAAGTATTTTAGTACCAAAAAAAAAAAAAATTCTTTTGTAACTATGAAAATATTAAAAAAAATTTTTTTACACATTTCACTATTTTTCAGGTATTAGTCAACGGTAAAAAATGACAAAAAAATTGCTTTGAATTTTTGAAAGCATCGCCGGGTTGTCTTGAATTGTTTAAAATATTAATACCAATGTAAATTGTATTATGTTTGCTATCGTTGTAAAATTATCCTATTCATTTTTTCAAATATATCTATATTAATGATATTTGGTTATCTATAAATACATAATTCTGGAGAATATAAAAAAATTAAAAAAAAAAAAAAACAAGGATATTAAGGCATTTTATGAAACAATTTAAAGACTTATATTCCTTAAAAACCAATTAGCGATACGAAAAAATTTGAAAAAACATGTCTATTAATACAATTATTCTGATATTTATATTGGAGTTAGTATTATAAAAAGCCACGCGCACACACACACACACACACACATATATATATATATATATATATATATATATATAAGTATAACAAAAATTACGTTTTAATAATAGTATTATTATAAAAGATTTTAATCAGTAATTGATAACAGTAATAAAATGATTTCGAAAAAGTTTTTTGATTTTTTATATTATCAATCGCACAAAATATAATTTGTTTTCTTTCTTTTTTTTTTTCTTTTTTTTTTTTGGATTAATTTTATATATAGTTGAAAACTTATCTATAAATGGAATATATTTTATATAATTTTCATCAAATTTAGTCTATTTAAATATGGATTTACCTTGAATAAAATAAAATTTCAGATATTAAATTATTAACAAATTAATAATTAATTATCGTATTGCTATATATATTGAAATTACGTATAAAGTAATGTATTATAATTCAATTCTTCATTATCTTATTATCGATCTGCAAGTTCACATTAATAAATAAAATTACTAAATTTTAAATATACTTTTATATTGAATAATATTTTCTCGTATTATTGTATACGTTTGTAATTAAAATATGTGAGAGGGGAAAAAACTGTAAAATGTCATTAGGAATAGTAGCAATTAATAATCTTGCTTAGTTGTACATTAGTACCTTAATTTATCTACGATATTCTATTTCATCCAGGTGTATAAGCTACATTATTCATTATTCCTTTACGCATTCGCGTCATTACGTTACAAAGTCAGCGTGTCCTGTTTTATTTGCGCTTGAAGAGCTTAATAACGTAGATCAATGCCAATAATACGAAATCTTGGCAGCCGCTTTGTGGTATGAGCACAAACATTATAGATCTGCCAAAATTCGTATTATATTTTCCTTCGTCGTTATTTCTTCTTTTATAGATTTAGTATTTTCAGCTGACCACGGCACATGTCGAAAATACCTACTCGTCACTAATCGTTGCTTCACACCTGCACTGTGAACCATGATTAATTCATTTGTACGTTCGTAAAGTGGCTTTAAGTTTACTCTGCATTTTGATAATGGGAAAACGTTACGTAATGCTTTATGAAATGATTACGAAATAAATGAATATTATATAAATTAATGTAGGAAAGTTGAGGATTAGTGAAATTTCACTAATTAGAGCATAATAATTGCAATGTGTTACGTGCGAAGTTGGAGAAGCAATGAAAAGAAACCAAATACTTTGAATGCTTAAATAATAAATTTTCTTTTAATATTTTGTTAAAATAAATAACAATCCGAAATCACTCTTGCCATATAATAAATAAAATAAATAAACATTCCATTACATTATTATATTCATTGTAATAAATGTTTATTATGAGGTCCTTTTGTCATTTATTCATCAAATTTTGTCAAATCGTCATATTTTTATTTATTCAAGTGTCATTTCCTATGTGTTTATTTAAATATCAAATTGGTAATAATGTTGTAATTTTTTTCAGGGATTAGGCAGAGCTGATCACGAACTTGCCATTAGTATATTGAAGAAAAAATATACGGATTACAAAATGACTTGGTCAAACGAATCATATTAAAAATATTCAAGAAATGTTGGCAAATTATGAATTTTGCATTGTCTCTTAATATAATTATTTATAAAATCATTTTTCTATTATATCTTGTATACTGATGTGATCAAACACGTGAAAAAATAAATATCTAACATCAGAAAATGATCTTTTTACTTCCCGTTATTCTCCAATGAAATTCATACATTTTCATAATGCATCATTTTTTTCATATATATATATATATATATATATATATATATATATATATATATATATATATATATATATATATAATGTGTACAATTTCTACTTTCTTTTACCATATTTTGCTTATTAGTGCAACCTGTTGGGGAACCGCTTGAAGTAAAGGGCTGTGCACTCGTATACGTTCGTTATAACATTTTGCTTTTTTTATTATTTACATGATAAAGATCATATTCGTAGGACAATAAAATAAATAATATTATAAAGTAATAACATAAAGGTTTACTGTGGATAATAATAATATAAGATCAAAAGAAAAGAAACTAAATGTTGCATTCGCGTAGGGATGTCGGTAATAGTGGTTAACGTAAGTTTCTAAATTATCGACACAAGGTTTTCATATACGATCAAATGTAAATATTGCGTGCATCAATGTGTAGATGGCGCCACGCAATATGATATACATTTTTAACACTAACGAATTCTTAACGTTTTCATGCATAAAGTATTATTTCATGTATAAAATGAGAAATCACTTTATCTCTCGTGTTAATTGCAAAATAAATAGTAATGATAAAAAAAAAAAAACAAAAAAAAAAACAAAAAAAAAACAAAAAGCAAAAAACAAATAAACAAATGAATTAAGCCAAGTATCGAAATATAGTTGGTTGGCAACGAGCTTGGTTTGTCAATTTAGTTAGAGAAAGTTGAGCATATGGATTAGGCACTTAAAAATTTGTAAATATCTTCGTCAAACTCATCATGTTTTCTAGAGTCACAAAATCTTTTGTTCAATCATTACAATATCCAAATTACATCAACAAAGGCAATTTTTCGGTATGTTATATGATATAAATAATTTATAAAACAAACAAATCTACCTATTCAAACGTATTCGTCGAATAGAAATTTATAAATATATTCATCTTCAATTATTCTTAATTAATAATTATTATCTTTTAGATTAAATTATTTAATCTATTATAATGCACATTCAAGCTTTGCAAAATGGACGAAGAAAAAATTATTTACCAATAATCGTGAATTCAATAATTATTCACTGATATTAGAATACCGTTGTATTCATTTATATTTTATATTTTCATAGACTTCCAATGGAAATCTATTGATAAATTGCCTCATGTTTTCCAACAGAACAATAATTATGATATCGCAACAACAAATGAAATTATACTGTTCAAAAATGTTAAATTTCCAAATCTTAACAATTTAAATGTGATTTGATGTTGTTGTTTGAGTATCCTTAAAATATTTTTCAACAATTCCATATAATACATATAATACATCCATTCGGAATTCGTATTTATGAATTTTTTAATTAAGCGAATAATAGAGACTTACGTTCCTCGTTTAAATAAGTCACTTACGTAAGCTTGACTGTGCTCTAATTATTTTCACAGATAAACTTCAAGTCACTTGCAGATGAAAAAATCATAATAACAGGAGGACACACACGAATGAATGGCTTAATACCCGAAGGAAGCCTTTTACTCCACAATGTGAGCAATGAACACTCTAATTGACTAATTAGCTTGTTAATATTTTTTTTTTTTTGATTTTTCATTCATTCGTAAAATCGGTACGACATTTTTCTACTCATCTCATAATGTGCCAATAATTCTTTTCTTAAAAATTTTCTATTTGAACAAAATTCTATCGAGATGTTTTAATCGGTAATTTTTCTTAAAAGATTTCAATCTTATGAAATGTATACGTATTTTTTAAAATTATTACTATAATGTGATTCATATTTAATGTGAGAAAGATTGATTAAATATTACGATGAGTTTTATTTTTTTTTTTTAATAATCGTAATTTTGGTGGACACGAGAAATATTTTATATAATTGTCTATGAAGAGAAACAGAAGTTTTTGCCTAAAGACGAACTCTCCGTGTGTCTGTAGGCAGTGGATCAACGAGTAGCTGGAAATTTGCCGAGGATCATTCAGCCATTGCTACTGATTAAGTCGGGATTATCTACAAGAATAAATAAACAGGCAACATTCTTGAAAAATTCATTCCAGTATGAAAACAGAGTCAGTGAAGCCATTGTGAAATTAATTATGAAATATGTAAATTGAAAGCTCGTAATAATGTCCTGATTACTAAGCTTTTCGATTTAACAGAATTGATAAAACTTATCGGTATTAGTCCTAAGTATTTTATGTTATTTTGCAATCGAAGATAATTAATGAGATATATAATAAAACCATTCAAGATATATTGCAAAAGGATAGTCATATCATTGGCCAATGAAGAAAGTACAGTCAAGAAAAGGTGGCTAATTTATTCAAAATTAGTTGGAAAAGTATAATGAGTGAGGTATGAATAAAGCAAAGGACATCCAATAAAAGAAACGAAGAGTATAATAGATTAATGAAAAGACGAACTGAAAAAAATGAATGAAATAAAAAAAAAAACTACATAAAAAATTATTAAGAAATATTGTAGAAAGTAATTAGAAGAAAATATTAATATCTTTATATATTTTGCAATAGATGATTGCGAGAAACAAGTAATTCATACGCGTTTCAGATACTAGTGTGTCCACCAAATTGTTTCAACTAACATATTGTTATCGTAAATAATAGTAATATAAGTATAAATAAAACACAAGTGCCTGTACTAAGTAAAATTATGATTAATAAACTTTTATCACAAACACAGCATTGCCAGACTAAGAATTACAAAAGAATAATTTTATATGTATATGTATATATATATATATATATATTATATTAAGATTAATAATATTATAAAGTGATTTATTATTAGAACGCAATTTTTATTTCAGTCTCCAGAAATTGGGCCAACTTTCAGCAAAGTCTCGAATTCCACGACATTCCGAGTGAGTTTTGACAGTTATTTTGAATTGTTAACATTAAATACCGTGGCTCCACCTTCCTTCTGCCTCTACTTAGTGATAAATCGCTCGATGTTTATTTTACCGTTTGAATGTTGTCGGGACCGCAGTTAACATGAAATTAAAACAGGCTGGGAAAAAAGTTTGCGACCAGTGTAACGAATGCGAAAAATGCTTCTACCTCGATGGTGTTCGGAGTCTGGCAAGTGATGATTTCTTCGATTAATCGCGGATAAATGACTATTGTAAGACTAGAATAAGGAGGGTAGAGAGTATCGATGACAAATACGAGTTATAGATGCCAATCAGCAACGCTAACGTCAAAAGGACGAGGCACGAAAGTGCAATCAGAGCGATTCTTGACATGATATTTAAGCTTAGAATTATTATATTTAGATTTCATATTGGCGTTCTGCTATTGTTCGATTTCGATCCTATTTTTTAAGTAGCGATCTTAAGTAATAAAAATTAACCGTTTTTTTTGTTTCTTACTTTTTTTTTTGTTTTTTTTTTCGTTTTTATGATTTTATGTTAATTTGAAAGGAAAGTGTGAACGAGGCGAAGGAGGATGAGAGCTATATTGAGCGTGGAAATATAATTTTGTTGCTTTCATATGGAAACGATTTAGTTCGACATAAGTCAGCATATTTACCATTTATTATCCATAAAACTAATTTGTACTCAGTTAGTTATTTAGATGAAGAGATTTATTTATTTTTTTTTTTTTTTGTTTTTTTGTTTGTTTGTTTTGTTTATTGTGATTTTATGTATTTTAGAAGAATTTAGCGAAAGTTACAAGAAAATGAAGAAAAAGAAGTTATATTTTTATTTAATATAAATTACTTTTTTCCACTCAATTTTAATAATCACGATTTGTGAAAGTACTTTCCAGAAACAGAATAAGGATAAAATAACTAAAAATATGAAGTGTTACAAACAACTTTTTATTTGTAACTTTACTGCCATAATGATAATACAATTTGTTGTAGAGTAGAACATTACAGAGTATATTATTATTATGCAAAAACTTTCTTTCTTTTTTCTTTATTTAGTTATTTATTAATTTTTTTAATAATAATTAACTTTATACAAATAACTATTTAAAATGAAGTTGATAACATTATTGCAATATGTATTTATCATGCAGAAATCAAGTTAATATTAACTTGTACTTTAGTAAAATTGAATAATTTGAACAGAGCGATTATAAGAATTTAATTAAAATTTGATAAATACAGGCTTTTGTAAAAATAAAATTCATTCGCTATAAATGTCAAGAGATAAAGAAATTATCGCTCCGTTCTTTTTTTTTTTTTTTTTTTTAATTTTTATTCAAGCATTAATTAATAGATCATTGATTGATAGTAACGAATAAAAGGTGAGGTAGATAATAAAAATTGAAAGCGAAATAGCTGATTCGTTCATTAGAAGACGTCGTCGATGCAAATGAGCAAACTCATTGACGAAAGCAAGAAGCATTCGAAGCAAACCTCGGAAAACCAATACAAACCGTCGAGCAACGCGGTGCAACCGACATTCAAGCGCAAGCTTATCATCGTCAAGCGCTCGCCGAAAAAGCTCAACTCCAAAAACCATGAGAGAGATATCACAAAATAGGTATTAGGGGCATCAAAATATATAGATGGAAAAGTCGCCGAAGGTCCGAGATTCAGTAGCACGAAGTTAACAGACATTGGTTGATTTTTGAACAAAATAATAACAAAGCATCCAAAATTGTTAAGTAATCAATTACATCAAAAATATAAAGCAAATGCAATTCTGTCACACGCAGTCTCGAAATTCTTGTGTATAGTAGTTTTCATTATGGTTTTTATAGTTCATTTTTAAGTCCAATAAACTTCACGATTGAGTGCAATAAATATATATTGTTCGCAGAATGTAGAGGAATGTGATTTGATTAAATTTTTGGTAACGCAAATGCATTCTAATAATCAATAATCTTAATGTAACCATTTGTTTAAGAAAACTTAAATTTAACAAAATAAAAAATAAAATAAAATATTAGTTTTTAATTTCACGTGAAAACTTTTGCTTGCTCACGTT